AAAAAAAAAAAAAAAAGAGAGTTGTTTAGTTTCCTGTATCTCTTAAGACTTGCCAGGGTTTACAGATTTACCACTATATAATGCAGATGGCATTTAAGCATCACCGATTCAGTGGAGGTTAAATTGTTTTTGTATGTATTTTTACACGTATGTCAAACTGAATTATGTCAAAACAGCAGTATTGTGGCTGTCCAGCTCTGAGGCTGCAGTAGTACTGTTTCTTTACCAAAATATATTTAAATAATTACAATTTGGAAATACTGTAAAATGTCTAATGGAATAACCCGTTTTCCTTTTGTCTGTTCTATTTACAGGCTGCTGGAAAATACAGACAACAAGGCAGAAATTACATAGTGGAGGATGGAGATATTATCTTCTTTAAATTTAATACACCTCAACAACCCAAGAAGAAATGAATATCAGATGTTGTTCATGGCTCAGAAATAAACTGTGCTGCTTCAAAAAGCATATGAATTTTTATTTAGGATGGAATATCTGGAAACAAAAAGCATACAGTTTCTACCTAGGGAACCTCCCCTCCCCCCAGTGAAATTATTCTTGTTTGTTCTGAATTAAAATATGGCACCTCCAGCGAACATGCAAGTTCACTAAATGTGAACAGCTTTGCATTTCAAACGATTAAGACCCTACTCCAAATTGTAGAAGCTTTTCAGGAACCATATTACTCTCATGATACTTCATTAATCTCCATCATGTATGCCAAGCCTGACACGTTTGACAGTGAGGACAATGTGGCTTGCTCCTTTTTGAATCTACAGATAATGCATGTTTTACAGTACTCCAGATGTCTACACTCAATAAAACATTTGACAAAACCAGCCTTGGTGTGTTTGGGGATGTCTGTATTGACTGACTGTGGTGTGCTGAATGCGATACGGCACCTGGTGGATGCTGATTACAGAATTTTAAGACGTGTATGATACAGTAACTGGCAGTGTGGGGCAGCTGCAATTGTATCTCGAAAGTGAGTCTTTCATGGGAATCAGAAGATTAGGATGCCAATGATTTGTCTCAAAAAAGTTAATGAATTTGTAGATGGACATTCACTGAAAGATGATAGTAAGGATAATAAGAACGATGCAGCGTAAATGTTTTTTACTGGAGAGAGGAAAATATGTGTAGAAAAATCACGTTATCTTTGAGACTGAAGCTTTTTTGTTCAAATAGTTTTGAAAAAGTATTTCACTCTTGCCTTGAAATTAATAAATTGTGGGGGCTGGAGCAGTGGTGCCTGGTGTTGCGTGTTGTCCACACAGGTCTGGTTTTCAGGCCAGCGGAGGGTGACACAGATAGTGTTGTGAAGGAAGAGGTCATGCTGTGCTGGGTTGGTAAGCTGTTCTGCTGAAATAAGGTTGCAGCTGTGAGTACTTTTTTACCCTGTTAACCGTGAGGGAGATCTCGTCTCTTTGGGTAACACAGAAGAATAGGTTGTTGGCAAAAATAAAACGAGTTTATACTTTTAATGCAAGCTGTAGAATTGCCCTTACTTGCAGTATGCTTAATGTATTTGAAATGGCCCGACTTTTTCTGAAGTCCCTGAGTGCCTGTGGTTTCAGCTGCGGATTCGGCGGGGCCAGGGCTGGGAGGGATGCTGATGTTACCTGTGGCTTGTTGGTGTGCCAGACCTCTCGCGTCGCTGTGATAAACTTGCTCGCAGTAAACTTTGAAAAGGCAACTTCTCACTGGCTAGCCTCCCCTCTGTGTTTAAGATATTGGGAGCGCTGGTTGTGTCCTGCTCCGAGGCTTCCCTTGAGATGCCACCTTTGAGCTTCATTGCTCATTTCTGAAAGAGTAAGACATGGGTCAGCCAGAGCCACGAGGCTCCTTGTTGAAAAGCTGGCATCATGCCTTTAATTGCACTGAGGAGAAAGAGGGAGGGCAGATGACTTCAATACGTAGTTGTTGATTTTGTTTTAAAGAGTGTCTCCTTTATTCGTGGAGGCAGGAGGGGAGAGAGTGTTGTGAATCAGGGAAATTGGGACTTCAGATGTTTTGATACCCTTGAAATTCTCTTTTGTATCGTCTCCCTGGTGCAGCTGGTATTTGTTCTTGGCATTATTTTGATGTTACATAATTGAGAAAAGATTAGGACCACCAAATCTTGTGTTAAAAGTCAAATCCAAAAGAAAACGAAGCCTACCTGCTTCTCTTGGAAATCAGCAAGGTGCTAGTAATAGAGAAGGGCTCATGCTGGGTTTTAGATGCAATGAAAGGTGAGTGAGAAGTGGAGTACATGTGTTGGTGAAAGAGAAGTAACCTCTTTACGGCACTAATAGCCGCTGAAACGTGTTCTCTTGTCATGTCTGAAATTCGTTCTGGTTTCCAAAATATTCCCGTGCTCCCTAATTACTACATGTCAGTGAATAAGTTGTTCAAAAGGACAGCACAATTAATGGATTGCCTTGTATTTTTGCATCTCTTAGTTACATTTAATAAGCCATATTTGTTTAGATTTGAGTGTGTGTACTTCATGATACCTCCCTGTTCTAAAAATAAAAATAATTAAAAATTGAACTAAGTTGTTCTTGACAGACAGTTTTTTGAAGTTATAACAATATTCTAAAAAAGAGAAAATGAAGTTAAAATATCTTTAAAAATATATATTCTGTAACATTTTATGTTGCAGCTTAACTTGCTTGAATAGTTTATCTCTTCAGCTGTTTTAACTAATGTTCTTTTAACTACTGAAGCTAATCAGTTATTCCAGAATAAAAAGCAAGTTTTATTAAAAGAAAGAATAATCTGATAAGCTCTATTACTCCTATCACTGGTGACTTGTGGCAGCTGCCGCATTAAATATGTGCAGCCTGTGTTTCTCCTCAGTGGGTCTATGCATTTAAGATGTACAACTCCTAAAAACTTGTAGATGTCAAGTTTCAAGATTCTGTTTTAAATAGAATTCTGATTTAACTTAAGCCAAGCACACATTATTTGTGCATTTCAACATGCACAGGTGACTCCAGGTGCAATGTATCCATCCTTCTCACATTTGCTCTTTAAGAAAAAAAAGTGAAACCTGCCTGCATGCTCTTCACTGTCAGTGACCTGTGCTCACTGGGGATGATGATGATGAGTGGGAGGAGACATTTTGTTTCTCCAGATGGAGAAGAGTAAGAAAACATTGTAGGCACTGCTCTTCCAAAATATGGGAAGTACAGAATTCTGCAGAGGAGGAGGAGTACTAACCCTTCCTCTTGCATTCCTCAGTGCCTAATAGCCATGGCGTTGATGGCATGTTCCTGGGATTAAACAAGTGCTAGTGGAACAGGGAAATCGCTGCTCTCTGCCTCCAAACTGACCAAAGAGAGTGCATGAAAGTGGAGATGTTGGCGAAAGCAGCACTGCCTGCGCTGGCATGTGGGGTGACTCTGTAGAGTGCATCTGGAGAGCGAAGCAGGTGGCATGGAGGATGTGATGTTCCACAGCGCGTATTTGAGGGGCTACCTCGGACTAGTTGCAGGCAGGTCCCATGAGCAATTATAGGGCGGTTTTCACTTCAGTCTTAAGAGAGAACCAGTTCGCCATAAGATACCCGAGGGATAACCGGTTTGCCTGCTCTGAGAGTCCTGTGCAATGCAGAGCAAAGCAGGGAGGGGGAGGGAGAGAGTGTGTGTGTGTGCGCGTGCGTGCGCGTGCAAGAAGAGGCATGATCAGGAGATGCACTTTTTTAAAACTATGTTCCTGGTCAAGTAAAAACGTTGCTGTAGACATGTAAGGGCTTACTGCTGTCTTTTACTGGCAGCATCAATGGCAATATTTAGGTGATGTGCTTGGGCACCCCAATACGTGACATTTCAGACCATTAAGCACAAAGAGCAGAAATTTAACTTTTGAAGACTTTTGTACCCACAGATACCTCTCATGTAGGATATAGTTTTCTGTCCTAATTGGCATTTCCCAGAACAGCACAAGGGGAGCAGGCTTGGGCTTTCTGTGTGGATTAATATATCAGATAAAACATAGTATTGTTTCCTCAGTATGTTACCTGAAGTAAAACAGACAGTGGTCAGTGGTGAACTAGAAATAGCAACCGAACTGCCTGAAACTCGGGTGTGTTTGTCCAGCTATTTGAAAGTTGAAGTAAACGTTTTAGTAGGATAAGAGCCACCAAGATGTAGCTGGCCTTCTCTTTGCTGTCGTTTGAGCATCTTTGGGGTCAGAATGTTCCACAGAGGAACTGAAGGATTTCCACGTCTTCATAAATTCAGTGCTCAGGCTAGTGTGAGTGAAAGGCTAAAACAAATACTGACTGTACATGGTTTCAGCTGTGTACTTCTTGCCACAAGACAATGTGGATGCTAAAAGTTGCCAAAGGTTCAAAAATGCTTGGACAAAGCCACAGGGGAAGAAAAAGAGGGTTGTTGGGGAAAAAACCCACTCTGTTAAAAATAAAGGTATCACCTCTGCACTTGGAGTGTCCTTAAGTCACAAATTCCTGGATTCTGGGAGAAAACCTGGTATATATGTGTACCTCGTCTCTGCCAGGCATCAGCTCACCACTGTCAAACACCAGGATGCTGGACTGGATGGGCCCCTGATCTGACCCAATACCACCATTCTTGCCTCCTTTCCAAAGCAACTTTTCTTCAAAGGCTGTTCCCAAACACAGGGAATATGATCTCTTTGATGTCTTTCCTGGTTCTGCATTTTAACCAAAATATTCTCTTAAAAAACAAAAAAAAATTTTTTTTAATTTCATGTTTGTTTGCTCTTTCGTCGACTGTGTCCAGCCCTGTAGAGGGGGTAGCATTATTATAATTGCTTTAAATTATTTTCCTTTCCTGAAGGATCCTTTCTTACCTGCTGCAGGTTTCCATCTACCTTCTCCCTTTCATCACCCAAGTTCACCCTGATCTGTTTCCAGACCACAGGGCCTGGTTGGGCAAGGAGTCTGGGTGCCAGAGCGCCTGCTTCGAAAACGCCATGTCGTAAGTCGTATTTCCCTTCCTCATCTCCCACTGAACAAGCTTCCAGCTGGAGTGGCTGCACTGTAGCTGGGATAGCTCAGCTGAATGCCTCCTGGCATTTTATCGATGCTGCTCGTGATTGCCCGGCCGTGCCTGCCATGGGCAGGGGCAGCCCTGCCGCGCGTGGCGGGTGCCCCGGGCAGAAGCAGCAGCCCCCAGCCACTCAAGCCCAGCGGCCCTGGGCTCTGCTGCTCCTGCCGCTGCGCCAGCAGGCTGGCAAATAACCCTCATTCCTTCAACAGTACCAGGAACTTCTTTCTCAGTGCAACGTTCTATGTTCTTGTGGCTGCTGGGCTTGTTCAAACTGTCCTTGCAGAGCTCCATCAGTCCTTACCATGTTGGCTGGCACTGATGCTGCACGCCCTGTTCCATCAGGTGGTTTAAACACTGAGTGTTTCTTCTACCATGTGCAGGGGAGGACTGTAAAAGTGCATTTGGAAAGAGCAAGGTTTTCCATTTAATAAATTTTAGCTAAATTTTAACATTTCTCTCTACTCATGAACTCAGCTCACAGAGGATGAAGGAGGGGAAATCATTAGAAGTTAGTAATTGTTTAAAACTAATAATCACTTGTTTTAATTTTTACACCCCCCCTACTAATTCCATATGTTGATTATGCTAATCCACCATTTCACTTCAATTAAACCAGGAAAACCACCAGAGGCTTTGGGGGGGGGGATAAAAAAGAAAAGAAAAAAAAAAAAAAAGAAAAATCAAAGTAGTGGTATTCATCACAGTATCCCAGTGGATTGAAATAGCAGTGTGCTGGTTGGCCTTTGAAAGTTTTAAAGTAAATTCTGTGTTTCAAGGCTGTCTTTGAAGCAGTTATTTCTTGGCTTCCATCTACAGGT